TTAAAAAATTGAGAAAATGTAGCAGTATTATAAAACAAAAACAAAAAACTATTTAATTACATTTAAAATTACTATTACTTAATTGGTTTAGTTAAGAACACATATCAAGTACCAATTTACGTAATTAAAACTAATTAAAAAAAATTTAAGTTTAAACTCAAGTAAAAATAGTTTAGCTGCCATTTTGTTTAACTAGTTACTCAAAATGGACGTAAATTTCGCCATTGTGGATCTAATTATGTTTTAATTAAATTAGGCTTTCAAATATAGACAACTAGAAACATACTTTATTGGCTTAAAAATTAATTAAATTTGAATTAATTAATATAAAAATAAACAAAAGATTGTTCAATTAATTAGTAGATACATTAAAAATTCCGAGTTTGTATTTAGTTTACTTAATTCAAACTAATTAAATTAAATTTGAAACAAAAATTTGTAACAAAAACACTAGTGCAACCACTGCAAACGCCATTTTGTTTAATTAAAACACAAAATGGACGTAAATGTGCCCATCGTGGATTGAATTAATTTATAATAAATAATATCTAAGTATTTAGAGAATATTTTTTTGTTATATTATGTTTTTGAATGTAGACAACCAGAAATACAATTTACTTAAGTATATCTTATTTGATTAAAAATTAAATTACCAACGTTAAAAAATCAATTACCTAAATTTAAATTAATTATTATAAAACAGGAACAAAAAACTGTTTAAATTATTATATTTGTAAGTAATATTACTTAAAAAGTACGATTACAATTACTTAATTAAAACTAATTAAATGAAATTTGAAGGTTTTAAATTATTTATTTTTTTGGATGTAGACAACCAGAAATACAATTTACGTATACACTGCTTAAAAGTTAAACTTCCGACGTTTCAAAATCAATTAAATTTAAGTTAATTATATAAAAATAAAGTCTGTATAATTAATTACAAATAATTTAAAATTACTAGTACTTACTTAATTACGCTAATTAGGCACAAAAGTTTGAGAAAAAGTATATTAATAAAGCCACCATTTTGTCTAACTAGAAACACAAAATGGACGTGAATTTCCCCATTTTCGATTCAATTAATTTGTGAAAATATCTGTTTAATTTTTTTTTTAATTAAATTAGGTTTCCGGGTGTAGACAACCAGAAATACAATCTACTCAAGTATAACTTATTTGCTTAAAAATTAAATGAGAAATGTTAGAAAATCAATTAAATTTTGATTAATTATTACAAAACGGAAACAAAAAAAACTGGTAAATTTGTAAGTAATAGTACTTAATAAAAGTCAAAAGTACGATTACAATTTACTTAATTAAAATTAATTAAATGAAATTTGAAGGTTTTAAATTATTTATTTTTTTAAATGTAGATAACCAGAAATACAAAATCCAGAAATACATTGCTTAAAAATTAAACTTCTGACGTTCCAAAATCAATTAAATTTAAATTAATTATTAAAAAATAGAAATGAAAACTGTATAATTAATTACAAATACATTTATAATTACTAGTACTTACTTAATTACTTTAATTAGGAAAAAAAATCGAGAAGAAGTATAGTAATAAAGCCACCATTTTGTATAACTGGGAATACAAAATGGACGTGAATTTTGCCATTTTGGATTCAATTAATTTATAAAAATATCTATTTAGAAAATATTTTTTTTATTAAATTAAGTTTTCGGATGTAGACAACTAGAAATACAAACAACGAATACTTTAATTGAATAAAATTAAAACTTAATCAAATTTAAATTAAAAAAACAGTTTAATTATAATTTACATTAATTATTCCCAAACAAAATTTTAAATATAGACAACCAAAAATACACTCTACTTATGCAACTTGTAATACTTTATTGTATTTTGTTTTTCATGCAGCCTTGTTAGAAATTTATTGATCCAACTCTGATCAATGCAAAACTTTAATTTATTTATTTTGTTGACTTTTTCTCTTATCAATAATAAAAAAAACTTGACTCAACCACAAAAACACAGAAATATAAAATTCGTGATAAGAAACAAATTTAATATTAAAAAATTTTAATGTGCACTTTAGATAAGAATCTGGAAATTTTATAGTGTGTAGGCAACACACCATGCACGACCGCTTTTTATAAATTGCATACCAGGTGAATAAAAAGTATGGAACCAAACGTTTTTTGCTTAAACCATTTATTTTTTGAAAAAAATTAATTGATGAGTGCTAAAGTACTATAAAAATGTGATGATTTAACAAGAATAAAATTTTTCGTAATTTCCTTTTATTTTTGAGTTCTACAAAAAAATAATTTTTTTAAATGGCAACCCACTATATAATAATTTTTCTCATAAAAGCTATACTCTAAGGATTACAACTATCTGCTTTATTTTTAATTTTTTCAAAAAATTTTTTCATATAAATTGCAATTTTGACACTCAAAAACGAAACAAAATTTCGTTCTGAAAATACGATCACTTTTTTACTTTAATTTATATTAATTATTATTTTCCGGAGGCAAATGATTAAAAACAAAACCGCTTGGTTCCATACTTTATATTCACCCTGTATTTCTAAAATAATAACAATAAAAAAATTAATTCTAAAATTTGTAATTAGTGTTGTGTGTTTTTATTTATAGCCAATTAGGAGGCAAAAACTGGCAAATTGCTCAAAGTTAGAATAATAATTATGTCATTACGAGATTGTTTATTGTATTTGACGTAATAATTAATCGGAATGTTGTTTCAGTGGTACCACCTGTAGTTTTATTAATTAAAAATGTCTTTCTTGGTACTTGTGGTGGTACTCGCAATCGCAAAAAATCGCCAGTGATAAGATCTGTAATCGAGCACCTCATTAAAAGTAAAACTTTGAAATTAAAAAAATGGAACCCACAGGTGGAGTAATTAAGGCAAATTAAATTAAATTTGAAACAAAAATTTGTAACAAAAATACCAGAGTGCAACCACTGCAACCGCCATTTTGTTTAATTAAAACACAAAATGGACGTAAATGTGCCCATCGTGGATTGAATTAATTTATAATAAATAATATCTAAGTATTTAGAAAATATTTTTTCTTATATTATGTTTTCGAATGTAGACAACCAGAAATACAATTTACTTAAGTATATCTTACTTGATTAAAAATTAAATTAACAACGTTAGAAAATCGATTAAATTTAAATTAGTTATTACAAAACAGGAACAAAAAACTGTTTAAAATATTATATTTGTAAGTAATAGTACTGAATAAAAGTCAAAAATACGATTACAATTTATTAATTAAAACTAATTAAATTAAATTTGAAAGTTAAATTTCAATTAATTTACAATAATATACATATTTTTTGGATGTAGATAACCAGGAATACAATTTACGCATACATTGCTTAAAAGTTAAACCTCCGACGTTCTAAAATCAATTAAATTTAAGTTAATTATATAAAAATAAAATTTGTATAATTAATTACAAATAATTTATAATTACTAGTACTTATTTAATTACGTTAATTAA